GCATAACTGCTTATACGACAGATTACACTGGAACACACGGTTAAATCGTCATGTGAACGAGCAAATTTCTCAAAATTAACGTCAGAGACTATCTTGCAGACTATTCCATTCGCTAGGTGAAGTGGTATCATTGTCACCATCTAACTCATAAACGGAAATAGCATCTTAATGTCTCCAGGCTCTGCTAAAACAATTCTGTATGTAATATGATGACAGGGATTCTCAGAGTGCGGCAATAGCTTTCATTGCATGAAGCGCGCTTCAGGCTGCTGTTTCCGTCTCATTCTCAGCAGTGCGAATTGCAGCTCCCATGTCACTTGTAATGAAAGCTCTTCATAACTACAGTAATGCTTTGAACGATATGTTGCATTTGGGAGGAAAAAGTGAAACGTTATATTGATTAATTTCAAAACATGTATGCTATAGGCTATGTACACTTACCCACTATCATAAGAGGTTTTCTAACGCAGCTCTAGCATATAAGCAACAGGAAAAATGTATGAAACACTTTGAAATTTCATTTTAAATGTTTGAAAATCCTAAAAAACAGTTTGTAATTCGTGCTAACCGAAATTTGCGTTAACCAATAAAATTTAAAAACGATAAATTAAAATGTTTGCTTTAAGCGAGTTCGTGTTAATTTATTCTGGCTGTTTGCCTCATAGGCATGCTGATCTTAAGCGAAAGGTTTTCTTTAAATTGTTTGTAAAGATATAAACTTTACATCCAGTTTAAACCATGTCTGACTAAAGTTTACTGAAGAATCGCATGAGCTAATAACCAAACAAACAAATAGAATACAGTACGCAACCAGTACACTAATCATCCGGAACTAGTAATAAGTCCGAACTATTCAGGTTGCGGAAGCTTGCTAATCAGTTTGCTTCTGAAATGTTCACTTACTTTCGGTAAATGAGTTCCATGTGTAGAGTAATTACGTTTATTTTGGAACAGAAGATCATTAAACATGTGCAGTGCCCTCGCCGGTTCTCGAAATGCAGGCCTTCTGATTGCTAACCGCCGAACGTGCTACCCAATTACATCATGAGAGCACGCAGTAAAGAGGAGAAAAATAGCTTACGCATTTTCATTGTCATATGATTGTAGTTTAGAGATCAGAAGCTTCAATTTTTAAAAATCTTTAAAGAATTTAACGTAATTAAAATTTTTAATTGATGTTTTCGAATCACAGCGTACCGTGAAGAGTGATGGATGCAAATTCATTCTAGCAATGAGATTGTATACGCAGTGATTTGTAATAATTTTCATAGGATACTAACGGAGTGTTGCCCGCTCATAAACTTTTATTTAGGACATAGTAAGTGACTTGTTTTCGTATTTCTGTTATCACTGATAGTTGCTATAGATACCCTTACTTTTTTACGCTTACGAAGAAAATTTATTTATAGTTTACGTGTGTAATGTTGCATCTTTAGGAAACACATATTTATCAATAATACACAGTCACTGCTTTCCTAATCTACATTTATGGATTGGCACCAATATCCGATGCAACTTATCGCTGGTCGCTATATGCACCCTCATTGTTTCGCGCTTTCATATGTTCTCACGGACTCTTCCTTCATAGAAATTGAGGTACTTTTCCGTTTTGCCGGCGCAAGTCTCGCCAAGCAGACTTTATTGGTGATACGTTACAGTATACACATAAAAAATGTTAACAAATGTTAGTTCTAAGAATTTTTATTTTGAAGGCATAACATTTTAATATCGGTTAAAATTTTATAAAGGCCAATAAAGACAATAAATTTGTAAAAAAATTATTAAGAATTTACAATGCTCATGGTCAACATCCTGATCGCGGTTCATATCAGTGACCCCAAGTGATCTCATCTCAGTAAATACGTACAAAAATCTAATTTTTCTGTTGTTCTCAAAAGAATTCTAAAGGTAAAAAAAAGATCTCTTACCTTTTCTTTCACCCGGGAGCCGAGCTTTCCATTCCAAATTCTTATTATTCGATGAAATATCTAAATAATTCCAAGCTTTTGCATAAAGACTGACACTTCTGTATAAAAATATATATTTAGATATACATTTATACATTTATATACAATTATTAGATTACATGAAATTACGCGCTCTCCAGCTAACAGTCAATTCGAGTTCGGGTTCAGAGTTCTAACTACGTTCTTACGTAGGATTATTCTCGAATTTAGATGTAATGGTGCTGATAGTGCGGAGTTTAGATGTGGTGGCGCTGATAGTCCGGAGTTTAGATGTAACATCACCTCCCACCATTGACATCCGACGATGCAGAGGAACTCAATACACACAGGTCCAGTCGATGAGGTGGCCGAAACACTCGTCCTGCTCTGGTCATCACTTGAGGACTTGAAGTAGATTCTGGAATACTAGCAGCCTGATCAGCCTGGCCAGTTGCATGGTCGTTTCTATCTCGAGGTGCTCTGTTTGGGAACGGAGGGCCCCAACGGATTCGGAAGTAGAGATCTCCAACGGGAAAAGCCGGGGCACTGGACGAAGCAGAGTTCCATTTCTTGTCTTGACCCTCGCTAGTCTAACTATTCCGTCTTTACTGGGGAAAAGCTCGACTATCTTGGCTAAAGGCCAATGTATGCGTCGTCTCTGGCTGTCTTCCAACAGAACGACAGGAATGCCAAAAAGGGATGCCAAAAATGTTTGTTGTATCTCTCAATAGAATTCTAGAAGGTAAAAAAAGATCTCTTACCTTTTCTTTCACCCGGGAGCCGAGCTTGTTCCATTCCAAATTCTTATTCGATGAAATATCTAAATAATTGCAAGCTTTTGCATAAAGACTGACACTTCTGTATAAATAAAGATATTATATTTAGATACATTTATACATTTTATATAAAATTATTAGGTTATATGAAATTTACGCGCTCTACTAACAGTCATTCAAGTTCGGGTTCAGAGTTCTAACTACGTTCTTACGTAGGATTATTCTCGAATTTAGATGTAATTGTGCTGATAATGCGGAGTTTAGATGTGGTGGCGCTGATAGTCCGGAGTTTAGATGTAACACTTTCAGTAATTATCTACATTAATTTCAAGTTAAATCTTAATTTGAATACAAGTTTAAAATGCAAGAATTATTTCAATTCGTATGATTAGCTTTACTGAGAAATTAATTAAAAGCGCAGTACTTTACTTAGCTAGTGCGTTTTCATTAGAATTGATGAAGTTAACTCTTGACTTTGCTTTTTCTATATGTTGGCCTTCAAGTGAGCGGTATGATTACATCCTAATTGACTTAATTACCGCGAATGGCCTTAGGGCATAAAATTGAGCTATCTGGTAAAATTTCTATGTATTTTATGTACATAGAACCTATTAGAAAAGTACCTATTATTCTATTTTCGTTTTTTACATACAAATTTTGTCAGAATTAAGAAATCCTTAATTTGCTTCAGATATCAGAATGATCATTTCAATGTGCACATAATTTTTACTTTTATGAATGATCTTATCAAGGAACTCATTTATTATCACAAAAAATCTAAAAATAACGCATTTCAGATATTGTTTTTATTCATGCTTCTTAGATAAAACGGTACTTTTCCCTTTTGCCGGCGCGAATGGCTTTAGGGCATAAAATTGAGCTATCCTGTAAAAATTCTATGTAATTTTATGCCAGTATTAAAAGAAACAATCAATATGATAAGAAATGGCCACGACTTCTTTTGAAAATGAGACATAAAAGGTTACCAGAGAGGTTATTCCGTTTGACATCAGTTGTACCTTTATTGGCGACTTTATCGCCTGCGCCGGCAAAACGGAAAACTACCAAAATTGATTAAAAAAAACAGCTTTGCGCGAAGTAAATGCTCTTGAGACCTAAGATTCGCGAAGTAATGACAGGCTGTGCCGTCCAAACGGGAAAGTGGTTAGTGACTTAGGCTGCTGTATCGAAGGGCCCGAATTAACATCACGGAGAAGGCATGGACGTAATTTGTTCCATTCCTTCATAGAAAACAACGGTAGCCCATCATTTAGTTCCCTCCGTAATAAAGAGACCACCGCTTCCGGCCTTAGTAGTGGCCAACGCCTCTAAACGGTTAGAGCCCATCATTGGGAAAAAAATGCCAGACTGTGCAAAAGTCTTGGACTTCATCTCATTAATAAACAAAGTCAAGATACATCCCATTTCAGTGAAAGTAAAAAAGAAAAAAAATAGGAAGTTCATATTCGTTCATACCACAATCAAAGCTAAAGGATTTCCACAAAGGTTCTGAACAATTTCACCCTAATATTGTGGTCACTCTATAAGAGGTAGTTCGGTAGGTACGTTTTCGTGTTATTACACGTATATCAAAGTGTTTTCGTAAGAGTTTGTATTGGTTTTATATACACATATCGTAAGGTTTTGGGCATCCGAAAATCCTCATGCTACAAAGAACGTGAAGAGTGACAACCCCAAAATTGACTGCTTGTCGTGCAATGCTGCATGACAAGACTTTAAGACCATTTTTCTTTCCATGAACAAACAATAGCAGGCGGAGTTTACTTCAATATATTGATTAATTACAATTGCCCATCCGTCAATCGGAAGTCATTTTCCAGTAGGATTGCGTGCCACGTGTCGCTGTCAGAGTTCTCGAAGAATCTCGTCTCTGTCTTATCAAAACATAATTTTGAGGACCTCACTACTAGTTTTGGGAATGTAACGGCAGCAACTAATTCGTGGCCAAGGATATCTTCGGCCTTGTCGAAGTTAAAATCTGAAAACAAAACTCATCCAAAAAAACACTATGACTGTATGTATATAGTAATGTATGTGTATGAATGTATGTATGTAGTAATGAATATGCATGAATGTATGTATGTAGTAATGTATGAGTATGAATGCATGTAGTAATGTATGAGTATGAGTGTATGTACTAATGCCTATGCAGTGTTATCCTACTGTTTCCATTTTTTAACGAAACGCATTTAATTTCTCAAAAAGTATTGCTTTCTGTCTGTGTTGCGATACTCTAAGAAACACTTTTCTCTTGTAGGATGAAGGAGCAAAAGACTGCTACGAGGCCAGGCTGATAGTAAGGGGTGTGGACGGAACTGATTCCCGGAAGTATACACTAAATGTGGAAAATGAAAGAGGAAGTGAAGCTTTCGCAGTGACTTTAGAAGTTAGAGGTAAGAGGAAGATATTTACATATATTTTGAAATTTATTTATTTTTTGTTTTGTATATTATAAGTGCTACTTTTCTCATTACATTGCTTTAAATCTTTATATCGCATTTATAGGCTTTTATTCTGGACTATGAAAACATTTTTGTTTCGAAAATATTGGTTAACAGATTATTCAGCAAAAACAAGCTTAGACCAGTGGTCTCAAACTCGCGGCCCCCGATACAATTTAATGCGCCTCGCGATTAGGTTTTAATTATGTATTTGTTACTAATATGGTGCTTTAAATTTCAGACATAAAAAGATGGCTTGTTGAAAAAAAAAGTAGAATAAAAAAGATAGAATGATGAATTTAAAAAAAAGGAATAGAAAGATACCATGAATTGTCCCTGTATACTTACAACAGGCCAGGCCACGTGATTAGGATAAGGTTTAAGAAGTTCCCTTGTTGGTACAATCAGTAAATTTAGTTTGCCAGCCGATAGCTAGTGCCGTTTAAATATTCTGACGTTTCTGGTTTAGGTTAAAAGTAAGTTATTAGGTGGTTCATTAACGTTTTAAAATTAATTGAAATAAATGTCAATTTAAAAGTAATGTTTTGTTGTCAGTACAAGATGGGACAGTGGTTAGCGACGCTGACTGCTGTACCAAAGGGTACCCGCCTTCTATGAGTCTAATTCCCGGAGAAGGCGGGGATATTTGTAAGTGTAACTTATCTGTTCGGCAAACGGGCATTGAGGAGGGTAAATAATCCTTTTAAGAGGTGAGTGACAGGAGAAAAGGGTGCGAGACATTCGGACCTCAGCAACGGGTGTTCTCCCTCAGAATTCCATCCGAGGTAAGCTTAGCAGTTAGCAAGGCTAACGATACCTAATATGCCTATTTGGATGCAAAGGCGGCTTCCTTGCTTTAACGTGTATCCAGAGATCCGTGGTTTGATTCCCGCGAAAGCGGTCGCTAATTTTTCATCACTCTTGCTCCCGCCCCCCAAAAAATCCTAATTTCTCTACATGTTTTGAAAATATTTAGTAAATGACAATTTAAAATGTGATTTTCCTTTCTAAGAAAGTTTTAAATTTTATTAAAAAAGTATTCGACCCGTCAGCTACTTTCAGATTGTGCATGCACTTTGAAGTTGATTTTATGCTACTAGCGTCAAATCTTCACGCTAGTAGCATAAAATCAATATTATGTTACTAGCTTCAAAATCATAAAAGTTTTTCAAAACCCAGTGACAGATTTTCTATTTAGAAAATGTTAACTGCCTTTATTCACATAAACAAAATGACCATATTTTCGCAGTAAAAATATTTTGCTACAGCATTAACATTCGATCTTCAACTTTATCAAAAATTAATAATGATATATTGCAACTAAGCTTACAATTAATTATTAGTATGAGAACAGTTCGTATTCTTCTAAATGATCGTAGTGTCATACTGCGCTCTATGTTATTTTACCACCAAAAAAAAAAAAAAAAGTCTACCATAGCGTAAGGCATCGGATTTCACGCAAACTGTGTTTGCCTTCTCGACATAGTACAGTGCAGCATTGCAGCATTTGTGTGTTGCATAATAAGTTTTGGAACTGGTGTAGAAATGGAATATATGTATATATCATATTCGAATGCTGTAAATGATAATATTTGTTTCTATGCTATGACAATAACGATCTTAACTTCATAGTTGTGGAAAAAAAATCAAGACATTTATAGAATTACATTCTAGTTATTAAAATTATTATTCTCGTGACTGCAGTTATCGACATAAATTTTGAGCTGTGTTGATTCGTAAAATTCGAGTTGTATCGATTTGATGCAATCTCTGATTTCATTGATGCAGTGATAAAGGAAAGGAAAAACCCACACTCTTGTTTAGTAGAATTGGCAGACGGGAGCATTAAGCATGTACATCAAAATAAAATAAGGAAATTCATTGTGCGGTCAAATGCAATCAATGTAATGTTTGACGGGAAGGAGTTCGGGGAGGTCTACAAGTATTCCCTCTACTTTAGACCAGAATAGTAGTTTTGAAAGTATGTTAAATAATCTAAGTACCGCTAATCTTAACAACAAGCAGATTAATGATCTAAAACTACTGTTGGGAAGGTACAAGAACTTATTTTTGAGACATGTTCAACCTGCTAGAGTAGGACAGCATAAGATTGATCTTATGCCTGGAGCAGACAGGAAAAAACCTCACTGTTATGACATTCCGATGGCATATCGCAAGGAGGTGGACAAACAAGTCAAGGAACTTCTAGAGCTGGGTCTCATTGAACCGTCGGAAGCGGACATAGCCCATCCGGTTGTGTGTGTGGTCAAGAAAGACGCGACAATCAGGATGTGCGTTGATTTCAGGGCATTGAATTCGATCACTAAAGTGCCGGCATTTCCTATGAAGGATATGCATGAATTAATATATGTGGCTGGGCATTCAAAATGGCTATCAGTTTAGATATGCGCAGAGGATACTGGCAAATCGGAATGGAGGAATCAAGTAAAACCACTGACAGCGTTTTCAACTCACAACGGGAACGTTTCAGTGGAAAGTCATGCCGTTTGATTTGGCAGGAGCGTCAGGTACCTTTCAAAGAGAAATGAATAAGGTTCTTTTCCGGTACAGCGATTTCCCCAAGCATATATAGACGATATTATAATTTTTTCAAACACGTTTTGAAGAACACCTGAAGCATCTAGAAGCGATTCTTAAGATACTGGAACAGTTAAAATTTTCTGTCAGGCTCAGTAAGTGTGATTTTGCAGCTAAGGAAATAGATTACCTAGGACATAAGATAGGAAACGGCAAACATGGCCCAGATCCTAGTAAGATTACAGCAATTAAATTGCTAGAAAGACCCACGAATAAAAAGGGAGTCAGTTCGGTATTGGGTCTTTTATCGCACATATATCCCGAACTATGCCGAACATTTGACGGATTTGACGAAAACGAATGTGCGAATAATGTACGGTGGGGTAAAGTTGAAGACGCGGCTTTCCGGAAATTGAAAGATATGCTGTGTCAGGCGACGTCTTTGGCCACGCCTGACTTTAATTTACCATTTCAGGGGCATTCGGATGCATCAGATGTTGCCGTCGGTTGTTGTCTAACTCAGAGAGATGCACAAGGGCATTTTAAACCAATAGCTTTTGCATCCCAAAATTTTCTGGGGCTCAAAAAATTGGGCAGCCATAGAAAAGGAGCCTGGGCAGTTGTTATTCGGGTTCAAGAAATTTGATAAGTGGATTTTCGGGGGAACGGTGGAAATCATTACGGACCATAATCCTTTGAAATATCTCACTGAAATTACACCTAGAAGTCCAAAATTAACGCGTTTGGCTCTCTCTTTGCAAAGATGGAATTTAAAAATCACTTATCGTCCAGGAGTACAACATCGAGCCGCAGATGCGTTGTCACGATTGGTGTGAATAATAGTAATATTTAAAAAAAAGAAAAAGAAAAAAGGGAACCACAGATATTCAGAAGTTCGTAATTCTTGCCTTAAAATACTTTTCGAGATAATTTGTTTAAATGATGTTGGTAAATAAAAATGTTTGTCTAATGTAGAATGTATTTATGCAGTTATGTTTAGTGTAATATTGGTATTTGTTAAACGAAAAAAAAAAAAAAAAAAAAAAAAAAAATGGTAAGAAGACTTTTGTATCCTGATCAGATTTTCGTTTCTAAGTACCCCCTGCACTTGGTCGGGTAGGAGGCTGAAAAATTTCAGTATCCATGTCAGCCATCAGGAACTTTGACATTTTGTATGAAATCAAGTGTGTCAACTAATAAACCTCTGAACTATGATTCTGACGAATTCGGAATTGCTTAGGATGAACGCTGGGTTTTTGTATCTAATGAACTCACATTATTTCTAATGAACGCTGAACGGTTTCGGTTGAACCTGTTGTGAAAATTAGCCTTTAAGAGGCAAATCTTCATCTTGGTGGGGGCGTGTATGCCAATAACCCGAGAAGGAGAAGGAAAAACCAACGGAATAATTAGTCCAACGAGAGCAGGTGGTTCGTTGGACGAAGTAGAAAGGACAAACAAGAAGACGAGGGGGCGAAGAGGACTTTTGCACCCTGGTTGTCGGACGGGACGGTCGGAGTTTTTTTTGGCGGAAAGGAGAGTCGCCATTTTCTTTCGTGATGCAGAGATTGTTTTTCTCATCCGGCGGAGACCATGCCGGACTTACCTATTCATGCTTGTACATATAATGTATAATAATCAAGAATTGTTTACTTATTAAAGTTTATTGTTAAACAAACAAAAAATGGGTGTCATCTATGCGTCGATCGATGGTGACATGTGTGAAGCAACTGAACCCTACGCTACGGTTTAACACAACGATGCTTATCTGTCTCGGCACGACTACCACAGTCAACTACAATGATCGGGTTATGGGCATTACAATTGATTTTAATGTTATTTTTCTATATCCACTGGATTGTCACATCCCCCAATGGACTGAGTTTTGAGACATTATTTTCGCTTAGAGATATTGAGTTATCCCCAAAGTAATGCTGTTTCTTGAATTGCAGGGAAAATAAGAGGGGTTAAGAAGATCTACCTGCATCAACTTGCTATAAAAGCAAGTAGTAATTTTACCTTGTTTTTAATCTTACTAAAATTATTAGTGGATTCTAATAGGTAATTTTAAAGCTATAATGGAAGCGACAAATGAGAATATTCGCCATATTTTGCTTTATGAGTTCAGTTAAACAATTATTTAAAGGACTATAAACGCAGTATGACAATAAGTGTAAACCGGTGTCAAAGACGGGTTCAGAAATTACGAGCAGGAAATCACAGCCTGGAAGATGACCCTCGTCCTGGAAGATGTATAGAATCTCGATGAGAACGTTCTTTCAATCCTGCTGGAACAACATCCGATCGTTAACTGTCGAGGAACCACCACAGAATGAAAGAAAATGTATTTAGGTTAAACAATAACTTTGTTTAGCTTATGTTTGAAAAATAAAAAGAAACTGCATTATTTATGG